AAAGTTGTGGTCCTGTCTCCCATCAACTAGCTTCAGAGAAGACCCATACGAGAGATGGTTGACAACTACAAATTCCCATCCATAGGAAATCTTGAGTGTTCTGGGTTTTTAAAAAAAATAAAATATCCTGCAAAAAATGTATTTTGTAAGAAACTGAGAGGCAACAACATTTTTACTGCAAAAAGGTTGACCAAACTGGGGGAGGGAAAAAGTTTTGATCAGCTCTAATAGTTATCTTTGGACATGCAACTATCAGAGGGGACACATTCGTTGGTATGAATGGAAAGCCAAAGGCTAAGAGAAGATGGAGTGATCATTGACAAACTTAAAAATATTTTTTTAATTCAAAATTGGCACTAACATGTATAATGCTCACCCCTTCCTGTCTCTGTTGGGTCACTGACCAGGTGAAAGTTAATGGTTCCTTATGGCACTTCTTTTTAAAATACTCAAAAATCCTGAGACCTAACTGACATTCCCTGTGACCGTAGAGAACAACACGACCTGATTAGCTACATATTCTCTATGCCACACCCTACTTTATAAAGCACTTTGAGATGCCTGGAGCTTTAAAGGTACTAGAGAAAAACCAACTTTCCCATATTCAGTATCCCTAGTGTTTCAGGGCAGACTGTGGTATGGATTTCTGATGGATGCAGACACACACACTGAAAACTATTTTGGCATATTGCACAAGAGTTTGAACACTTGAATGAATTTAGAATTTCTCCAGCAAGGATCATTTTGAATAATTCTAAATGAAATATTATCATTGAACAGCTTGGAGACTTTCATCAAGCTTCAGTGAATCTTAAATGCACTGATTCATATTACAAAGGTATTTTGTAAAAACCGGACAAACAACTGTGCAAGCTTTTACTGTTCTTTACAGACAAGTGTCTCTCTTACGTGTAAGGGCATGCTCTAGGAAGATGGGCCTCTCTGTGAAAACAGAGTTGCATCAGAAGAGACTCTGTCTAGATTTATTTAGAGACCTAATTAAGCTCTAGAGTAAATGTACCATTGAACAGCTTAATTAGCAGTATGTTTATTAGGAGCTAATTACATAATCCCTAAGCATTTTTTAAAATTAATGATTGCCACTTAGTCCACAGAATCTAATTGACCAAGGTTAAGGAGAACATGCAAAATCTGTTGCAGAGTCCTTTTGCTAATAGAGTTAATCATTTACTGTTACTTTCATTGTACAAACAGGGACCTGGAAAGAGCTGCTTATCCCAAAAGAAATTCACAGTTGCATCTCACATATACACAGAGGTGTCCTCAGGAAGGAAAAATGCTTCCATATGGTATGAATTGAAGGACAATGGACAAACCAGTTCAGATAAAGTAATTTTCGCCTCGCTTTCACCATTTTGAGTCCACACACTGAAGAATAAAGTCTTTGTGCCACAGCACCTTCTCACCTAGGAATCCAAAGGCCACATCAGAAAATTTAAACATGGATCTCCCATAAGACAACACAACGCATTAATGCTGAGACACTATAGGTATGAACAGCTATGATTAAGCATGAAAGTAATGCCTAATTTTCCTATTAATTCTTCCAAAGCATAATCTGTTTTTATACCTAAAGTGGAACCTAAGAGTCTGGACTAAGTCTCAGGCTGGTTTGAATTATTTTTGTGTAACATCAAAAGCCACTTGTTGAAAGGATTACAGGAAGATTTTGTTTTTTTAGGTGCTGTCCCTTCTAATTCTGACACCACTTCTCCTGCTAGTCCTTTGGTTAACATCTATTAGCAATTTAAACAAGATTTCCATGCCCATGATGTCTTGCAGAATCTCCTTTTTGAGTTCCTGCTGGACTACATGGTGTCATTCAGGCTCCTCCCTGTCAGGGCCAGCTCCAGGCACCAGCAAGGGAAGCACATGCCTGGGACGACACATGCTAAGGGGCGGCATTCCCTCTATTCTTGGGGCGGCACAGTCCGGGCGGCTGTGCTTTATTTTTTTCCCCCCCTCCTCTTGGGGCGGCAAAAATGGTAAAGCCGGCCCTGCTCCCTGTTCTGGGCTACCTTCTATGGTTTCACTCAGTACATGAGGGGGAAAACTTGAAATGTCCATGCCTCTGATTCTCACCACGCCAGTCTATGTTGGTGCACAGAATTGTGATCTGTATAAGCAAGAGCACAAAGGCATGGAATTAAAAGTAGCTATGTAAAGACTAAGAGACCTATGGATCTATTGCTGTAGCTCCCAAACACTGCATCTCTGCTCTCCACTATGCCTGGGCTTTTGCCAGTACGCTGAAGATTTACATGTAGCGTTTGTTTTCATATTCTAATTTAGACTGTCCGACTGTATTATGATGTTTCAAGAAGAGCAGACTTTTGCAATCCCATGCTGGGCATCCCACAGCCCATGGATGTCTAGTAGAACATATGGGATTAATCTCAAGCACGTCAACTCTCAGCTGAATTACACCCCAGTAGCGGGGGGGAAGTATAAAGAGAAATCTGTCTGGTGCCAGCTTCAGTCTCACTGCTGGAACTCATGAGAAGGAAGGGACAAGATTGCAACAAGAAGTCTTGAATCGTTTCCTGGAGACGCAGGTATTGTAGAATAATTTTAAATATTGCCTTTTTCATTGAACATGGTGTTTGACTGGTAACTGTTGCCCCGGCTTTGTTTTCAGTATCTATTTCCCCTTAGTAGTCTATTTTAATGTAAAGGGCATTGACCATTTTGAATAATGTTTTTATATAGGAAATATTTTATTGGCTTATTCTTATAAAAATTAGGGCCTGGTCATGCTTGGGTGGTAAGTACTCTCAGTTCTCACTGACTTTAACACAAGGTGAGGAAATTCAAGCACTTTTTGATTGGGCCTTTAAAAGCAGACCTAAGATAAGAAAAATATATATATATATCCACTTTCTTGTGGGAGGGTAATAACGCCTTTCACCAAAGAGAGGCAAACCAGGTCTGCGCTTCTTGGAAGTTCAAAAACACATCCAGCAATTAAGAGATGTGTATTTATCTTTCTAATAATGGTAAAATAACTGCTTTGTCTCATTATTTCTTTACCAATAATTTGTATAGTGCACTTTGATGGAAAGGAACCTGGGTTGTGTAGGTAAAGCAATGCCAAAGATTAAATATCAATAACTGGACCCAGTCATCTGGCTACAGCTCCCCCTGCCCTCTTGTAATTACAAAACATTACTTTTTGTTAATGTAGTGGGAGTCTCCAAATAAGAAGGTCCTAAATATATCTTTATTGAGAAACAAGAATCATTAGAAGTATTCCTGGACATAAAGAACACCACCCCGACGTATGGTTTTTATGAGATGTTCAGTACACTCATCTGTGTGCTGCAAGGTACCTGCTTCTAAATGGCCAATGACCCAAACACACAAGGGGTGTGTATATGCAAACTTTTGAAGTATTTTTCAAATGCCATTTTTTCGCAAGTTCTGGTTTTTACTCTTTTGCAATCTGTTGAATTAATTGAAAATCACTGTTACAAAACCTATTGCCCCTGGGGATCTGAACACCCTCAGCGGCTTGTGTGCTATCTCTGCTGTAGTTGCTCCATCTCCGGAATTAACCTTTTCTAAATTGACGTTGCTGGAGATAGGCACACAGGCAGATGTATTAAAATAGCGCATTTCATGCTGAAACTGGACTGGGAGCATTGGAACAATCTGGGGATTTTTTTGTTCTGATTACAGTTTTTATGTACCAGTGAAACTGTGACCAGAAAGCAGGCTTTCATTGCGATGATTTTACAGAGAGTGCATTCTTCTCATATCTGCTCTGGAACTTTTTACCTTACTCATCAGACACTACATCTTAATCCATAAATACAATCAATTTCAGACAGTGTCTTACAAGTTTTCAGATCTTAGAGAATCTAATTGATCACCCACTTCTGAAAATGTTTCGTTATGGAGAGAGGGCTTACATGGATGCAAAATCTTTGGCAGCTGTGCAAACGAACTTGCTATCGGCTTGAATGAAAACACTCCTTTGCGCAGAAATTCCTGTCAGGATGTTTCAGCATGGTCTGGAGGAATGAGCGAAGGTGTAGGAGTTGGAAAGTTTCCCTGCCTCTATCCCAGGCTCACTTTATAGCTATGGACAAGTCATTTCAGCCCTCTGCTTCAGTTCCCCATATGTAAAATAAGGACAATAATATTTACCTGCCTCTTTTTGGGGGTGTTATGTGAATTTAGCTTGTAAAGTGCTATATAAATGCTACTTATTATTGATAATTAAATAAACTAATTCAGTGCATAAGCACTGTACTGATTGGCACTCTGTAAAGACCTACATATAGATAGCATTCATTAATTTTGCCAGTTGGTATTGTGACCAGCGAAAATTAATTCTAACACCTGTTCACTAAGAAGAAGCCTCAGACCACCAACCCTTTTCACATAGGCTGTTGAACAGCCATCAAAGTAGCACATGGAGCACAAGCTTGTGACTGAGCTTTGTATGTTTGCTTTTGCAGGATGGTCCTTGGTGCTCTTTCCCTCATAACTTGGACATGGCTAGTTATGCCTGAGCCCATTATTTGATGAGGATCTTTGAGAAGGTCAAAATCTGTCCTAACTCTCTGTATGTAATGACACCTCTGACGATCTGAATCCGGGTTTGAATCCAGGACCTTCAGTACCACAACACAAGCTTTTAACAGCTGAGCTAAAGGAGTAACTTCACTAACTGGTAGCATTAGTAGGTTGTTTTCTTATATTGGACCAAATGTTAGAGGGCATTAAAGACACACACTTTGCAAGTACATTATATGACTTGAAAGTTCCCGGTTTCTAATGTACATACCATTTCTAATGCACACTGTCTTTGCTTTGCAGAATATACAGAATATACTAACAAATAAATTTGTTAGTCTCTAAGGTGCCACAAGTACTCCTGTTCTTTATACAGATCTAGTTACCCTCATCCATTTGCAGGATCAGTTATGGGAGCCTGGTTCATCTTTGACATGGTTGGCTTAATTTTATTGGACATGGTGGGGATCCCAGGGAACCTAGTCATCCTCTATGCCTTCACCCACATGTTAATGTGCCATGGAAAAGTCACGCCCTCTGAAATTATACTGAGCAACCTCACGCTCTCCAACCTCCTGGTTATCCTGACCCAGGGGATCCCCGTCACCCTCAAAACCTTTAGGCTTCAGAATATGTACAATGACCTGGTCTGCAAAATTACCCTCCATATTTACTGTGTGGGCAGAGCCATGACCATCTGCATCACCTCTCTGCTGGGCTGTTTCCAGTGTATCCTCATTGTCCCATCTCCTTGCAAATGGTTGCGCTTGAGAGAGAACCTGCTGAAAAATCTCTCCTCAGTTATGATTTCCATGTGGTGCTTCAACCTTTTTGTGTGCAGTACCCACCTGGCTTATTCCTCCTCCCAGGCTGCTGCAAACTCCTCCATCATCAAAAGCCACACAGTGGTGTACAACTTCTGCTACATGGTGTTCCCCAACCACCTTTTGTACTTGGGAAACGGGGCGGTGTCTGTCATTCGGGACTTGTTCTTCCTGGGAGTCATGACTCTTTCCAGCTGCTACCTTCTCTCCATGTTTTATCAGCACGGGAAGCAGGCAAAACATCTATTGGGGCTGCACACAAAGCATGCGGAGATCCAGGCAGCCAAAGCCGTGGTGGCCCTGTTAATCATGTACCTTCTCTGTTTCGGGCTGGACAGCCTCTTCTGGATCTCTACCCTCTGTATGAATCCTGTCTCACTGAGCTTCATTGATGCCCGGATGTTCCTTGATTCCTGCTACTCGGCCATCAGCCCACTGCTGATTATCCTGACCAACAAGAAGGTACAGACAGCTTTGAAATGTGCAACCAGGAGGAGACAGTTACCAGGTGCAGACAGCATCTCAAAGTATATCCAATAGGAAACAAATGGGCCAGGTAGCAACTTTCAGGCTTAAGGCTTATTCAGCTTTGTTTTTAATATTGCAATTATTATTGTTTCTACACACACACACACACACACACACACAATTCATACTTCAAGTATCTCAGAACAACAAAACAAAAAACAACAAAAGTAAATTCTCCATGAGACAGAGTGAAAACACAGGGTACAAAAATCTGTATTGGACTGTACACCCAGGCAGTAACAAGAGAGGAAGGATGGTCTTGTGATTAAAGCATGACTCAGGAAACCTGGTTTGATTCCCACGTTAGCCATAGACTTCCAGTGTGAGTAGAGAAAGAAATTAGTTTCCTCCCATCTAAATAATTAACAAAGTTTCAGTAAATATACCTGAAAACTGGGGTACATTTTCTGAAATAGTCAAATTGGAAAGTGATGCATGCCAATAACTTTGTTGTAAAGTAACTTCCAGACTTATTAGATTGTTCCTTGATGCTCTGTAAATGTGCATTTCATCTTCATATTACATGTCTAAACCCCGGAGAAGGTGTCACAAGCTTAATAGGCATATTTAAATTCAATATATGTCACTTATGCATTTTGATGTCTATCAAACAAAAGATGAAAGCCACATCAGAGCCAAAACCAGTGGTAGACTTTGAACATATACAGCACTGCAATATTTAATGTCTACAACACAAATCTCAAGTTCAGATAGTAAAAACTAGGTTTTATCCCAGGGTTCTGTGGCCTTGGTTTCAGAAGTGCTGAGTATCTGCAGCTCTCATTGAGTACAGGTGGATATGTGGATTCTCAACACAATGCAAATCAGTCTTTGGCAGGCTGCATGTCAAAACTGTGACATAACTATGACATATGCCTATTTAAAAGGTGTGAAAAATTCCCCAGCAACTTTTACAGCATGTTAACCAATAGGCTGCAGAACGCAAGTGAACTAGTTAACCAATCAACTTTAAGCTGAGACACTATTAATCATGCAATTTCATCACCTACCACTGAGCAGTAAGGGATTGCTCCAGTAGCTTGTTAACATAGTATGTTTCAAAGTTATTTCAAATTTGTGCAGGAAGTTTGTGCTAGTTTAAATGTTATAAAAATCATTCTGAAAAATAAAAATCAAATGACAACTCTCTCTGAAAAATGCCACTGTTTTCCATTTGCTTGAATGACTAAGACAAGAATTTTTTCAAGCTGATGTAGTTGTTAACAATGCTGTCCATGCTTGACACTGAAGATCATTGCACTTGTGGATCAAGTCAGACATCACATAAAATTATTTGACTTTCCATCAGGGGGAAAGATTCTGTTCTATTAAAATTTAATAAACAACCCCCTTGTCTGTTCTTCTGTTACCCAATACCACTTACATTCAATGCAAAAGATTTGAGCTCCTCTCACCTTCCTGATGATAGACAGACACACACACATCTACACAATTCTTCTCTGAGTAGCTGTGACTAATTGCCTTGCATCTCAGTGCCACTGTGATTATTACTAACCTCCCTCATTAATTTCATAGGGCAATATTTGAAGGCTGCTAATAGTGTGTCTCTATACTTGTCCTGATCATGCTCATTGCTCAAATGAAGGTGCTAATTTAAACTTTGAAAAATGGAGTTTCTTGCCACCTTGCGGTGCAGTACCTCCTACACCATTCTGTTAGGGTTATGGCCAAGAATAAACACCATTGCCCCTAATCTAAGGCATATTCTCTAGGAGCATCTGCTCACATACTATTGTTCTACAGCAAGAACAGAGCCTTAATTGCATGTCCTATATTTTAAAGGTGAAATCTAAATTCCCCTAGGGAAAGGCCATCATAAAATACCTTATGTATAAGTGCCACTTATATGAAAAAAGTTTATTGTACGAATCTTGCATTCCAAAATCTGTCAGAAGATTATTCCGGGTAGGTTTTATTTATATGGCTAGAAAATAATTTGTAGGAGTTGGATTTTTTAAAATTGTTTAGAAAATAAACATTGACACTTTGAGAAATTTTCTGTCTATGGCATATTCATAAATCTGTAGAAATGTCTACAGTGTGATGGCTGGATCCAGAATTTAAACTATTTCTCAGCACCTCCCATTCTGGCTGCATTTCACTAGGTCTGGTATCTCACTTACTAATAAGGAGGCTTTTTAAGCATAGACAGCTAAGCAAGACCAACTATTAAATCAGAGAGACACAATACATCTTCTGCTCCTTGTCTGCCAAGTGTATAAATATTCAAAGACCTGGAATTGATAAAGTTCATTAGAAAAGATTAATGGTTCACTTGGGAACAATTCCAGAAGGGAACTGAGTTGAATGTGTAGGTCAGGGAGTTATGAAAGAATAAAAAATATAATTAGACTATTTTCTTAATATATCATTAAAAATCAGATACCAATAGATTGTTATGGGCCTCACTGAAGTTGCTTTGGGTTTTAGAAATTGGAAGGATAGTCTGTTGTGGTGAAAATTGCCTTCCTTTCCCCCACATGCATCTCACTGGAACAATCCTTGTTTGAACTCATCGGTATCTGAGGCATGTAAAATGAACAGTACGTTTTGCAGTGTAGAAGGATCTTCACTGAAGGTTCATCCAACTCACTTTTTTTGGTGGGTCCTAGCTGAATCCAGTCACAACCCCATCAGAGAACTGGAGGATAGCAGACTGAGGTGAGAGAGAACTAGTGAGAAGTGTTATGGGCAAAATAGCATTGATCACAGTGACTGCCGAGAGTACTGTCCTTGCTTTTCTCATATTTGATGGGGTCAATAGCCTGAAAGAAATCTCTCCCGAACCCCCTTTTCTGGCCTTCAAACTACACCCCAGCCTCACCAAGCTCAACTCCAGAAGCGAACTCCCCATAGACCAGGACCCACCTGCTCAAAGAGGCGCCAGACCCTACCAGAACAACAGATGCAAAACCTGTAGCCACATCTCCACTGCTATGGTGATCAATACTCCCCCCCCCCCCCGCAACACGCCTTTCAAGATCCAACATGTGGTGTACCTCATCCAGTGCACTAAATGACCCAATAATGACAACGCAGGTGAAACCAGACAACCACTATGCTCTCTAATGAACTCACACTGGAAATTAATAAAAGACAAAAGCACCATCTCCACCCATGGGCAAAAACTTTTCACATAACGATCACTCTATGGCTGACTTATCAGTCCTCATCCTCAAAGGAAACATGCACAACAGTTTCAAAAGATGAGTCTGAGAGCTTAAATTCATAACTTTGTTAAACACTAAAAATCATGGTCTTAATAATGACATTGGATTTATGGCTTATTACAATAATCTGTAACCCATTAACCCTCCCTTTTCTGTCCTACAATTGCAGAGATGTAAACAGGCCACTTCACCTTGAATGGTCTCTTACAACATGACTTAAATAACTACTTATGCTAAACAATCTGTTCCACCTTGTATTTAGCTGTGACACTCAGGACTTTTCTCAGACCTGAAGAAGAGCTCAGTGTATGCTCAAAAGCTTGTCTGTCTCACCAACAGAAGTTGGTCCAATAAAAGATATTACCTCACCCACCTTGTCTCTCTACTAAGACTAAATTGTGCTTTAGGCATAGCCCTGAGCACTGAATAGAACGTGAGCCGTGCTGTTCCAGGGGCAGCCTGGAAGGCAGTGTGACTCCAAGTATCAGAGGGGTAGCTGTGTTAGTCTGTATCCCCAAAAACAACGAGGAGTCCAGTGGCACCTTAAAGATTAACAGGTGTATTTGGGCATAAGATTTCATGGGTAAAAAACCCACTTCTTCAGATGCATGGAGTGAAAATTACAGATGCAGGCATAAATATACTGACACATGAAGAGAAGGGTGTTACCTTACGAGTGGAGAAACAGTGCTGATGGGGCCGATTCAATCAGGGTGGATGTGGTCCACTCCCAATAATTGAGGAGGAGGTGTCAATACCAAGAGAGGGGAAATTGCTTTTGTAATGAGCCAGCCATTCCCAGTCCCTATTCAAGCCCAAATTAATGGTGTTACATTTGCAAATGAATTGTAGCTCTGCAGTTTCTCTTTGAAGTCTGTTTTTGAAGTTTTTTTGTTGAAGGATGGCTACTTTTAAATCTGTTATGGAATGTCCAGGGAGATTGAAGTGTTTTCCTACTGGCTTTTGTATGTTGCCATTCCTGATGTCCAATTTGTGTCCATTTATTCTTTTACATAGAGACTGTCCGGTTTGGCCAATGTACATGGCAGAGGGGCATTGCTGGCACATGATGGCATATATCACATTAGTAGATGTGCAGGTGAATGAACCCCTGATGGTGTGGCTGATGTGGTTGGGTCCTCTGATGGTGTCGCTAGAGTAGATATGGGGACAGAGTAGGCAACAGGGTTTGTTACAGGGATTGGTTTCTGGGTTAGTGTTTCTGTGGTGTGGTGTGTAGTAGCTGGTGAGTATTTGCTTCAGGTTGGAGGGCTGTCTGTAAGCGAGGTCTGGCCTGCCTCCCGAGGTCTGTGAGAGTGAGGGATCATTTTCCAGGATAGGTTGTAGATCATTGATGATGTGCTGGAGAGGTTTTAGCTGGGGGCTGTATGTGATGGCCAGTGGTGTTCTGTTATTTTCCTTGTTGGGCCTGTCCTGTAGTAGTAGATGACTTCTGGGTACCTGTCTCGCTCTGTCAATCTGTTTCCTCACTTCCCCAGGTGGGTATTGTAGTTTTAAGAAGGCTTGATAAAGATCTTGTAGTTGTTTGTCTCTGTCTGAGGGATTGAAGCAAATGCGGTTGTATCTTAGGGCTTGGCTGTAGACAATGGATCGTGTGATGTGTCCTGGATGGAAGCTGGAGGCATGTAGGTAAGTATAGCAGTCAGTTGGTTTCTGGTATATTACCATCACTTATTTTCCACTGTAGTGTCCAGGAAGTGGATCTCTTGTGTGGACTGGTCCAGACTGAGGTTGATGGTGGGGTGAAAGTTGTTGAAATCCAGGTGGAATTCTTCAAGGGCCTCCTTCCCGTGGGTCCAT